TTTGGTTTGTAAGATAGACTTGTGAAGTGCTTTGAGGCTTTTGCAAATGCATCCCTCTGACTTTGCCTTTTGGGGATTCGTATTCAAGAATTCTATATCGATAAGGACATGCCCTTTGCCTATTCTATGGCATGCGCTACTTTTGAAAAATTCTCATCAATACTCCATTGGATTATCACTTTCAAGTCCAAAAGTACAAATATCATTTATTACTCAGATGATTACATTTTCACGGATTGTTTGAATCTATCTAAAACATTTCAAGAATTTGCTAGGAAATAGGGAAACTAGTTCCAATAAATTCAAGTAAAACCATATACCTAACATTTCTTGGTCTAGGTATTAATAACACAAACCAAACCATATTTATTCCAGAGTATAAATGTAAGGAGTTTTGTTTGTTTGTTGTTTAACGTCCCTCTCGAGAATTTTTCACGCACATGGAGACGCCACCACTTGCCTGTGCTGAGCTGCAAATCTTGACCTATGCTCGGCACTGAGGGCCATTGAGAAGTGAGGGATCTTTTTCGTGCCAGAACCTACTGCGACAAGGGACCTCGGTTTATACGGTCTCATCCGAAGGACCGGTCTCCACGTCCCACAGTGGAATTCGAACCCGGGACGTAAGGATCAACTCCTTACTCCTCGACTCTAAAGCAAACGCGCTAACCACTGCGCCACGCGTACGAGGGCAACCAAATGCAAGGTGTTAAAACTTACTCTGTTATTTATCTGCAATTCCAACAAGGTCACACTAAAGCAAATACAGTCTCCCTGTGCTCCTTGAATTTTTCCGCTAAAACTTTGCTAAGACGTAGGGCATTCAGTCGATGATTTTACAAACCAATTATAGGCATAAAAAATCCTACCACATTGTAAAGATTACTTTGGGCGTGAAATAAAATGCTAAGGTTTGTATTGACTTCTTCTAAAGATACAATGGGTAAACCCCTTGCCCATCTTTGAGTATTTGGTCATCAAACGATAGCTTAGATCTTTTTACAGATAGTTATGGGTCTCGTGGAGGGGGTGCTTTTTTTCAATAACCACCAGCTCAATATTCAACGGCCAAACATATGGGATAATTAATAATAATTAATATCCTTAGGGACATTACTTACCCTGAACTTGTTCCAAAACTATGCGCAGTATGGACATGGTCTGAGCATTCTAAAGCAAAGAAACTGCATGACTTTAAACATAGACAATCTTACCCTGGTTTATATCTTAAATTATCTGTAGATCTTCAAGAGTTATGCATTTAGTTAGACAGCTGGTGTTGTTGTATTTAAGGAGTTGTATTTAAAAAAATAACATTCATTTTATTGCAGATTCAAAACCTTGGCAACAATGGCAAACAAGAACGCTTCACAGTTAACTCAGGAATTGCTTAATCTCTTAAACCCCATAGGTTCTATATTAAATGCAGCAATTTCAGCAAATACAGCTTCAACTTATCGTAGGGAAATTGAATCATTTCAAATATTTCGTAACAGATACCCCCTACCCTTTCATCGACCGCCTCCTATAGATCAGCTTATCAACTACATAGCTTACCTTGTAGCTATTTCTATTGCACATTCAACCGTACGGGTGCTACTAGCTAGGAAATCCGAATACACTTTCAGACTGATACCACAAAAACATTCATTGTTAAGAAACTGCTAGATGGCTTGCGCTTGTTGAAGCCCTCTAAAGACACTCGCTTCATTGCTTAATCAAATAATAAAATATCTCCCTTCAGTTTGTTGAAACTCATATGAAGCAATATTATTTATTCTGGCTTTTCAATTAGCATTGTTTGCTTTACTCAGAATTAGTGAGTTTACAATTTCAGGAAAAATCATTTGTGTTGGCCTCTGAGGACGTCTGAATGCACCTGTATGCATCAGGCGTGTCTGAAGATGATAGAAAGATTATAGGTAAATGGAAGTCTAATAATTTCAAACCTACATCCGATTATAGTTACAGTTTTTTTGGGTGTAGGCACTTGGCAACATGTTTATACTGTATTCAAACAGCATCATAGGTTTGCAGGATGTCTTCACAGCTTAAATACAGTAGCTGTTATATGAAGACATATGGCCAAATTTTGCTGGAAAGCCCGCTTCTGATCCTGTTATTTCCCAGGGTTCGTAGCCAAGAATTGGGCTTCTTTCACTGTATTATGGCGGTGAGACGGGATCGACGGTGGACAGATAGCTCAGTTGGTAGAGCATCTGGCTGGGGATTCGAGTGGGGGGGGGGGGGGTGTTCAAATCTCGGTCTGCCCCATTGCATTTTGTTCTCCTTACATTTGCCTTGCCCTGGAAGTGACAGGTGAAAGACCTGCCAGGGAAGAGGGGGTCAGCCTGGGTTCATGTCTTCGGAGGCCAAAGACCTTTTAGGAGGGAGGAATATGGCGGTCAGACGGTTTTGATTGCCGGAGTCCAGGAAGCTCAGTTGGTAGGGCACCTGACTGGAGATTCAGGGGACCCAGGTTAGAACCTTGGTCAATATCATTGTTCCATGAACTTTTACAGCATGCACTGTTGAAAATGTCGACGTTGACCATCTTTGTAATACATGTGCACCCCACTGTTACCTGCTCAATCTGCATCAATTATTCAATATTTACATTGTGTGCATCATTGTATTGGTGATTCATTTTAAATATCAGCGAGCGCAAAAAGCTTAAAAGAAACAAAAAATAATTACAGCTACTCAACAGTATAGTTCGTTAAATATTACACTAGTAATGTAGTCTCCTTCAACCAGACGCTTGGCTGTCTCCGTAAATTCCGACGTCATGTGACGCCACTGTCTAGACAGTGTCTCATGTGGTTTGAAGTTTGAAGAGGCGGATCAAAGTTACAAGTGTAACCTATGTAACGGTTTTTTATAGTACAACTGCGCTCTCCCTTACGGTCATACCGTAAAACATAATATGTTGACGGTGCTACCGTTAGGGCGAGCGCAGATACCTTTTCAGTTTTAATTTACATCCGTCTCTTCAAACCGCACGTGACATTTGGTACGTCGATCTAGACTCTGACGTCACATGACGTCGTATGTAAGTTGCATTACCAAATCGAAGCCTGAACAGTGCTAGTTTTAATGAAGAATGTTTAAGCAACTGTTTTTTTCTGCAATATCCATTAAGTCAATGTTATTTTATATTTTGTTGAACTTTTGTTGTTACCGCGAGAACGTAGTTTGCGGCGAGATGATATTCGCAAAGCATTATGGGACCACAGGTTACTGCGGAAAAAAAATCGTTTGGATCAATGTGCAAAGTCCGAATTTTCTCTTCGCCCAGGCGTTGCTTTAAAGGGTTTTTATCACGTTTCAAAATTTTTTGATATGACAAAGTTTATATGCTATCAAAATCATATATTTAAAAATCTTTGCTAGAAAATTAATATTTTTGACGTTTCAGCGATTCAAAGTTTGAATTTCTCAATATGCATATTTTGATCGCCGATGTTACGCGCCATTTCTCTGACGTCATAGGTGTCAATCCTGGTCAAGCGAAGTACTTATTGTGTACACGAAAGGGCTCATTTGTTGCGTCTTTTAAACCTGTTAGAAAATAATTAAGTGATAATTGAATAATTGACAACTTGTAAGGTATAATTTATGGCTTTATGGTGCACAAATGTGCACAAGAAAGGTTTTAGGAAGAATTTTTTCCCCACATTTCCTGGACTTGGTCGAGAGATAAAAGGGGGGCCTTTCTCTGCAAATGCGATGGCGTTTATCTCCATTCGGAACAATCGCTCACGATTTTTTTTCTTCTGTCCTATAAAATATTTTAAGGAAAGATACTTTTTAAAAAAAATAATAAATGACAAACACGCATTTTTTAAGAGTCCCACAGAATCTAGTAGGAATGTTGTCAACTTCGTAATGGCGTACGGCACCATTGAAGAAGTGTCATTTCTAGTACATGATATGCACTGCTAGAACAGATAGAAGAATACAGGATTTATTTATTTATAATTAATTAAAATAATAACGAAGGGGAATTTAAAATTCTCATATTTATAAATGTTTACGAAGCTAAACTTTAGTAATTCGTTCTAATTAGTTGAAGTCCCGAGTTGTCAAAGGCTTCGTCTTCGGTGACCTCTCTCCAAATGTCGGCATATTTTCGGGTTATTTCTCTCTGCTAGACGTTCATACCTAACAGATTGACCGTCCATAACCAAAGGAATATAGTCTATGTCAAAATTTCAACCGGCCATACTGTGTATTCTATTTACTTAGCGTAAAAATCTGTTCAATATATTTTTTTCTTACGATAAGCTTTACGAGTTCTTTTGACCATTGACACCTATGACGTTTCAGTACCACGTGACCCCTATCTAATTAGTGGAGATTTTTACTTCGAGGACCCTATATTGCGGGCGTTTAATCATCTAATTACGGCCGTTTTCAACATTATTTCATAATTAAACGATAATAATATGTTTCAAGAATATAATAGTGTTTCATTTTTAAGAAATTTAGATAAGTGATAAAAACCCTTTAAGAGCTCGCAGTGACGAGCGGCGCTTCGCGCCGCTCGCTGCGCTCGCTATTAATTATTAAATTTAATAAAGTCATTACAGAAACTGCCGATCATTTTAAATCTTTTTTGTTTTAAACTTAATCTGATCTTACTCGAATAGGAATTAATCAAGTTAATGTATGGGCCAGGAAGGATAACTCTCATGCAAATTTCCATACATCCGTTACAAATGCGCGTTTCTCAATTCCCTTTTCATATTGCGTTTTCCTAGTTCAGCATCCCGTCCACAATTTACCAACTTTTACAATATGCACTTTTGGATCATTGTCTTTTTAATACATATACACCCCATTGTTACCTGCTCGTTGCAATTCAGTTATCAATGTTTATCATTGTACCCATTTATCATTCTGCATCAATTATTCAATATTCACATTGTGTGCAACATTTTATTGATGATTTATTTTGCATAAATTTTTTCATAAAGCTGTGACAGAAACTGTCAATCATTGTTTATCTATTTTGTCAACGTAATAACCACACCAACTTAATGCATTACAGCTTGTAGAAACAACTGTCAGGTGGAAAACAGTTTTACACATTTTTTTGAAATACAAAAGGGTGGCTATTTAAGCAATCATTTTATCAGAAAATTGAGTTTTGTCAATCAATAGTGCTGCTTACATAATCACTGAATTAGCAAGCAAGTAAAACTACGTAGTAAAACAAATTATTTCATTGTGATTTCATGAGGCTATTTTCCAGGCGGCGGGGGAGGATATTGTCCAGCTGGATTGATCTGACCATGCGACGGATGTTGACCTGGCTGAGGATAACCGGACGATTGAGGATAACCTGGGCTGACAACGACTCCTTGGTGTGCCTTATCTGCAATGGTTGTTTGAAATTTGTCTTAAAAGTGATCCCTATTGAAGATACGTATATCATTAACCAGCTTATGTGAGCACCAGGTTTTTATTTCCAGTATCTGTATCAATATTTAATATTGCGTATTAAAAAATATACTGGTCAAAGGTGTCAACAGGAATTGTTAATACACACTGATAAATTTGTGTCGAAAAGTAATACTGTTTATTGCTTTATCCTGTTCATAACAGCTATTAACTCAGTAACTCACTTCAGAAAGTTTATTTTTAATGTTAGAATTTAGAAATTGTAATAGCTTCTAATAGAACCTTAAGGTCATAAACAAATACACTCTAAAAATTGACTTTCACATTCTTAAAGTAAATACTTACTCTTCTTAACAATGATAACGATGATCACGACAATGATAACTACAACGATGATGCAGGGAACGATGATTGCTCTATAAATAAAAGGAAAACCAAACAATGCTTTTATTATGGAGATAGCTGTACTTTTGACAATGGCAAATAAAATGAAACCAAGAAAAAATTATTTCTTCTACAGAATCATTGATACACTCACGCTATACTTATGCAGACCGTCCCCCCGCAGATGTAGCCGTAAGCACAGCATGTGGACGCTGTCTTGTCACAACAATGATACCCCGACGGACAGTACAACTGAGTCCCTAGGAGACTCCCACAAGTCTCCGCTGTGTCTGTAAGTCATGAAAAAATTAATATTGCTCTGGACAATCTAAGGATAAAAGAATTGCCTGTCGCAGAATAAGTAATAAACATTTATTATTGAGCCTTTCCATTTTTGGCAGTTTTCGCACTATCGATGAAGACCATGATATACATGTTTTAAGAAAAATACCACTTCCTTTTGAATAGCATTTCTACTCAAATGTGACTCATTGATTGTTTTAAAAATTAAAAAAAAACATATGACTGATAATGCTCTTTAAAAGCTCCCTTCAAATATTCATCATAAGACAATGTTCAACTACGATATTCTATACAATATTGCGTTTTCTGTATGTATAATGTATTGTTTTCTCTGATTGATGGGCTCACTTTATAATTTTATTATCGTTGTTTGCTTTTATTTGTGTGATTTATTTATTTATTTTTTTTAAGTTAATTTGTTTATTCATTTATTTAATAAATATATAAATAAAAACATTATCTTGATAAACTTAAAATAATATAGAATTTATTATTTATTCTTGTTTTATCACACAATTTCTTAATATGGATCTAGGGTTCTTTGCATGACATTTTAACAGTTAAGGTACTCCCAGAAAGGGGATATTTTAGATGAAATTTTTACGTCTCATCCAGAAATATTTTCACATTTAAGGACTCTTTACATTACACAGTGAAGAGTTCCAATTCTATGGTACATTGTACTTTTATGCAGTAAGAGTGATCTACCGTTTAAATTAAAACGGAAAACTAAAATACACTACAGGAAGGATCATTTCTGAAAGCTCAAGGACATTGACAGAAAAATTTTATTATTCTTGTCTGGTCTATATCCCTCAAATGGAGTCTTATTTCAAATGTTGATACTTGACACATTGTTTGTTTATGACTAAAAGAAGTGTCATAATCTGACCTAAGGTCTTTTTAATGAAGTTCAGGGTCACTGGGGGAAAACGTTTTCAAATTCGTATTCAGTCTTTAACTTTCTAATGGAAAACCATTGGAAGTTAAGGCTTAAAATTTTTACTCATTTAATTAAAGCTCACTTGCAGTTAAAGTATAGAATTTGTGTCCAGTTCATTATTCTCTAGCATGTATTAGTAGTTGAAAATTCAAAGATTATTTGTGAGCCGAAGGTATGTCATAACCTTGAGCCAAGGTCATTGTGGTAGTTCAAGGTCAGGGTAAAAAATGTTAAATTCATGTCAGATTCATAATTTTCTTAGAGAAACAGTAGAAGTCGTAACTCAACTTTTTAACTAAGGTCAAGGTCATATTTGGAACATTGCATATGAAGTGCAACGAGGGTATAATTTCGTGAGCTCGCTCACAGTACCTCTAGATTCCATTTGTTTTTCCTATTCAAGTAAGAGACCGGTGTGTTGTTTTCATCAAGTTTTAGTTTAAAAACATTTACTTGAGAATGACAGGTACCATATGTTGAAAATGAAATATTTTCACCTTTAATACGATATGTTTTCAAACGAAAAAATTCAATACAGTTTATGGATGGTCATTTAAAAGATACTAATGCAATTTTCAATTATTTATCGTCTATTTCATTTTAGTTTGAACATTATGTTCAGCTGAACCATACAATTGAATTTTATGCAGATAAGTACAGTAGATTAACTGAAATCTTGAACTTGTTTGATTTACAATTTATTCATTTCTTTTTATTTCAGGTATTTTTTCTAAAGATAAAATCTTTCTTTCTTTTTTTTAAATCTGCTCCATGTGTATTTCATAATGTGTCGTTTTAAATCAAAAATATATCTTTTTTTGGAATGTTATTTGTATCATGGGACAAATAACTTTTGTTAAAACGTATTATTTTGGCATTTGGAATTTTACCAGGTTTGATACTCATTGAAAGCAGGAATTTTACCTGTCATTATCGATTAAATGGTTAATTTTTAAATCTGTGAGAGCTTTTTGCTTCATTGATTTGTTTTGAAAGCCAATCTTTAAATCATGTTTGCCTGAAACGGTTTATACATAAAATTAGATGCTTCCGGGATTGCTCTAAATATCTTAAAGATAACATACATCAATAAAAAATATTTCTCAAAATCGTCCAGCATGACTAAAATCATTGGTTCAATTGTATGTACTTTAAAATGAAGATCCATAGTTCTATATTTACATTCAGTGTAATTTTCTTTATGAAATCCATCAGAAATCTACGACGTTCAAATCTCTATTAATAATACACGCGAAACCTTGTCACCGCACGGTAGAATACAAAGTAGGAACTATATGCATTTTAAATATCTAGGAACACCAAAATGTATATTGTTTTGACTCAATTTAATAAAAAAAAAAAACAGCTACCGTGTTAAATTAACGTAAAATTAAAACAACTGTGCGTTTAAAATTAATTTGTCATCTTTTTTTCCTCGCACGTCACAAACGGCTCTTACGTCTATTAAGCACACCAGTTCTGAAAGGCGCTAAATTCATAATAAAGATTAATGAAATAAACAATTATGAAGAGAGAAAATTAGAGAATGTAAATATAAGCATTGAATTCTTATTTTTGGATGTAGTCGGTCCTATAACACACCTGGTCATGCCGACAAAATATCATACCGCGCTAACACGCGGTATTCAATTTGTCGGCACGGCCTGGTGTGTTATAGGACCGACTACATCCAAAAATAAGAATTCAATGCATAATTTAATGTTGATCAGGAGGGCTGATTTAATCATTGACACATTAACCAAATATATATTTCATATATCTCCAAGAATATGTTTTAAAATGTGTAAATAGTTTTCATTAATGTTTTCAATCTGAAATTGATATGACCTCTGATTTTGATTGTCTTTCAATTACAAAGTAACTTCTTACTTCTAAATCAAAGTTTTATTTTTAATTTAAATAAAACAAAATTTGAAACTCCAGGTCAGAAGAGTTAATTTAAAATGCAGTATGCCGACATCAACTACTTGCATATGCTTTGGATCAACTTGCGCTATACATCTGTATACGCAAATTCCATTTTCAATAGAAATAAAAACATTTCATTTGCGCGTCATTGATCACCAAGTTTCTCTATTTTTCAGTAATAATCATATTTGTTTTGAAAATAAACTTGTTTAAAAAAAAGAACAAAACTTTTCACACAAAAAAATATTGTTGAAATGACAAAAACAAACATAATAATTCCCCACCTACAAAAAAGTAATTAAGTGTTAAAAATTCTTACCAATAAGGTCTATGAAGCACGCAAAAATAATTAAAATCAGTGCAAATATCAAATATTCTGTGAATTTCTTCATTTCTTTTTAGATTCAACGATCCCCTCAATGCCTTTCTGTACGTAGAAATAACTGGAATTTACTTAGTCGGGTTTTAAATTATAATTTAAATACCACTCTTTACCATAAAATTTTGTTAAAACGCAGAAGGTTCATAAAAGTGATATGCAATTTCATTCCTTGACCTTCAATATTTAGATATTGTAGAGTAAATGTTTGAATTTCAGACAAGGAAGTTGGGTTGAAAATATTGATTTTTATACTCAAAGACTTACGAAAAAAGAATGGTTATCTTCTGTTTATCATTTTTTTTTTATAATAAACATAATTCAGAAAGTTCCAATATACACGTTACACCATGAAAAAAAATATATCGGGAAAAACAGTTCTACACGATTTCATTGATTTTTGCTAATTCATAGCTACTTGTTTTATTTATTGTTTCATGTAAAATAATTGTTATATGACATATATAGTTGCACCTATGAAAATATAACATTATTCCCAAATCATATATTACATAGGTTGATTTTGAAGTGAAAAAGTATATCTATGAATAGAAACGGGTGATTCCTTTTTTTATAAAAATTCTTGAGTCAGTCTAGTTTCCCGTAAGGCAGCAATGGCTCTTCTAGAAGGAAAAAAAATTAAAAACAAATATGTATTGGTTATTTATCACTTAAGGAAGACCCATTCTTTCTTTCTTTAAATTATGATTTAAAATCCGACTAAATTCCAGTTATTTCTACTTACAGAAAGCCCTTGTGGGGATCATTGAGTCTTAAAAGAAATGGAGAAATTCACAGAATATTTGATATTTGCACTGATTTTAATTATTTTTGCGTGTTTCGTAGACCTCATTGGTAAGAATTTTTAACACTTAGGTAGGGATTTTAATCACTTAATTACCTTTTTTTGTATATGGTGAATTATTATGTTGCTTCATGCTGAAACAAAGCATATTTTAAGTAGTTGGTGTCGCCATACTGCATTTTAAATAAACTTTTCACTCTTCTGAAAAAGAGTTTCAAATTTTATATTATAATTCTAAAAAAAAAAAAGCTTTGATTTAGAAGTAAGAAGTTACTTTTTAATTGAAAGACAATCAAAATCAGAGGTCATATCAATTTCAGATTGAAAAAATTAATGAAAACTATTTACACATTTTATAACACATTCTTGGAGTTATATGAAATATATATTTGGTTAATGTGTCAATGATTAAATCAGCCCTCCTGACCAACATTAAAAGAAGTATGGATCTTTAATTTTATTTAAAAAAAATAAATACACTTGAACTAATAATTTTAATCATTCTGTGCGATTTTTGAGAAAAATATTTTATTGATGTATTTTTTCTTTAAGATATTCAGAGCAATCCCGGAAGTATCTAATATTATGTATTAACCGTTTCAGGCAAACATGATTTAAAGATTGTCTTTCAAAACAAATCAATGAAGCAAAACAGCTTTAAGAGATTTAAAAATCAACCATCACTTAAGTCAATAATGACAGATAAAATTCCTGCTAGCCAAAATAATACTTAAGCATTGAATCATTATTTTTTGAAAGATATAGTCTCATAACTACAACGGTGTATGCAAACAAATTTTCTTAACGCGTATTACTTAATTTGTTTGCACATACCGTTGAAGTTATGAGACTATATCTTTCCAAAAAATAATGATTCCATGCTTATATTTACATACATTTTTAACTCCTTGTCTTGACTGCAAATGTGATTTATATTTCAAAACCCCTGTATTATCCTTCGGGTAAGTTACAATTAATGGAAGAGCCGTTGCAACAGTTTCTGTTCAATGTGAGCGTGAATTTTGATTTTCGCTTATGACGTTGCACTTCCAAGGCGTTCAACGTTTATGACGTCAAAATAAAACGCATACCTTAACCTTTTGACCCCCTGTCCTTGTTATGGTGTTTTGAATGCCGTAGCTTTCCTCACAATTTAAAATCAAAATACATGTGGAATGTAAATATATTGTAACAAAAGTTATCTCGGAAGTCTAATGATACGATACAAATTTGGAGAAGAGCAAATACTGACCTCAAAATTTAGAGGTGGGATCGGGAGGAGTGAGCATCCCCTGCCGACCGGTCACACCCGCCGTGTGCTCCTTGTCATGATCGGGGGAAAATCGGAAAAATCTGTAGACATAAAATACAATTGGGTGGTTCAGCTGAATATAATGTCCAAACTAAATGAAATAGACAATAAATAATTGAAAATTGCATAAGTATCTTTTAAATGACCCTCTATAAACTGTTTTGATTTTTTTTTCGTTTGAAAAAATTTTATATCGTGTAAAGGCGAAAATAATTCATTTTCAACATATGGTACCTGCCATTCTCAAGGAAATGTTTTTGAAATACAACATATTATTGGTGAAAACAACTCAACGTCTCTTACTTAAATAGGAATAACCGATGGAAATAGAGATACTGTGAGCGAGCTCACCAAATTATACCCTCGTTGCACTTCATATACAATGTTGAAAAATATTACCTTGACTCTATGGTCATAAGTAATGTTTGAGTGAAACATGACCTCCAATGTTTCTCCATCAGAAAATTATGAGTCTGACATGAATTATACACTTTTATTACCCTGACCTTGAACTGCCAAAATGATCATGGGTCAAGGTAATGACATAGCTTCGGTTCACAAATAATCTTTGAAGTTTGAATCTCCGATACATACCAGAAAATAATGAACTGGACACAATTTCTAGATATTTTTTTTTGTCAGTGAGCTTTCAATACATATTTTTGGAGCATGAACTTCCAATGTTTTTCCATTCGAAAGTTAAAGAGCTAATTTGAAAATTTTTCCCCCAGTGACCTTGAACTTGCAAAACTGACCTTAGGTCAGATCAAGACACCTCTTTAGTCATAAGCAAACTGTATGTCAACATCAATATCCAATAAGACTTCATTTGAGAGTAATAGACCTGACAAGAATAATAATTTTTTTCTACCAGTGTCCTTGAACTTTCAGAAATGACCTTATAGTGGTGTATTTTATTTATTCCGTTAGAATTAATTCAAATGGCAGATCACACTTACTGCATAAAAGTTCCACAGAATTGCAACTCTTCATTGTGTAATGTTAAGGTCCTTAAATGCATGCCAGTAGCAACGGTTTCAGAAGGGGGGGGGGGTGCAAACTTCTCAAAAATACAAGATTTGACAAGAAAAGAATACTAGCATTAATAAATAGATAATTTTTATTTATTCTAAATTTATCTATGTATTTATTTATATATTTATTGAAAATATGAAAAAATAAACAAATCAACTTAAAATAAATACATAAATAAATGAAGCAAACACACAAATAAAAAACAAACAACGATAATAAAATTGTAAAACGAGCCCATGAATCAGAGAAATGAACCCATTATAAATGCAGTATTGTTTAGAGTATCGTAGTTCAACATTGTCTTGTGATAAACATTTAATGGGAGCTCTTTAAGAGCATTATAAGTTATATTTCAGAGAGTCGCAAGGAGTAGAAATCCATTATAAGTTATATGATTTTTTAATAAAAATCATTGAGTCACATTTGAGTAGAAATGGTATCCAAATGGAAATGATATTTTTCTTAAAATATTTATATCATGGTCTTCATCGATGGTGCGAAATCTGCCAAAAATGGAGAGGCTCAATAATAAGTGTTTATTTCTTATTCTGTGACAAGGCAATTATAAATATTACCTTTAAATTGCCCAGTGCAATATTAATTTTTTCCATAATTTACAGACACGGCAGAGAATTGTGGGAGTCTCCTAGAGTCTCAGTTGTACTGTCCGTCGGGGTATCACTGCTGTGACAAAACAGAGTCGACCTGCTGTTCTTACGGTTAGATCTGCGGAGGACGGTCTGCATTAGTGTAGCGTGAGTATATCAATGATTTTGTAGAAAAAAATAATTTTTTCTTGGTTTCATTTTATCTCCTATTGTCAAAAGTACAGCTATCTCCACAATAAAAGCATTGTTTGTTTTTCTTCTATTTTTAGCGCAATCATCGTCCCCTGCAGTTATATTGTAGTTATCATTGCAGTGACCGTCGTTATCATTGTAAAGAAGAGTATTTACTTTTAGAATGTGAAAGTCAATTTTCAAAGTGTATTTGTTTATGACCTTAAGGTCCAGTTAGAATTAAGCTATTATATTTTCCATATTCTAACATTAAAAATAAACTTTCTGAAGTGAGTTACTGAGTTAATAGCTGATAGAATTACTTTTCGACACAAATTTATCAGTGTGTATGAACAATTTTTAAGTGTCTATTGACACCATTTGACCAGGATATCTTTTAATACGCAATATTAAATATTGATACAGATACTGAAAATGAAAACTTAGTGCTCTCATAGACTCATTAATGAAATATCTTCAATAGGGATCACTTTTAAGACAAATTTCAGACAACCATTGCATATAATGCACACCAAGGAGTCGTTGTCAGCCCAGGTTATCCTCAATCGTCCGGTTATCCTCAGCCAGGTCAATATCTATCAAATGGTCAGATCAATCCACTTGGACAATATCCTCCCCCGCCGCCTGGAAAATAGCCTCATGAAATCACAATGAATTCGATTGTTTTACTTTGCTACTTCCATGATTATTTACGGTGTATTATTGTTTGACAAAATCAATTTTCTGATAAAATGATTGCTTAAATAGACATCTTATTTTGTTTTTCAAATAATGTGTAAAGCTGTTTTTCACCTGACAGTTGTCTCTACGAGCTATAATGCATTGAGTTGGTGTGTTTATTATTAACAAAATAAATTAATAATGATTGGTAGTTTCTGTCACAGGTTTATGAATTATTATGGAATATGAAGATAATTAACAGTATTGTCACCCGCGTGGCGCAGTAGTCACAGCGTTTACTCTAGAATCGCGGAGAAAGGAGTTGATCCTTACGTTGCGAGTTCGAATCCCACTGTGGGACGTGGAGACCAGTCCTTCGGATGAGACCTTATAAACCGAGGTCCAGTGTCGCAGTA